CTCCGGCTCCCACGCTCACGCACCCACATGCTGTCCCCACTCTCCCTCTTTTCCGTTCTCTCACACCCACTCCCTTCCTTTTTCTGACACTTCTCCCCAGACTCTGTGCACTGCCAAACTGGCTGAGAGGAGAAGACCCGGGCTGTGACCCAGGCTGGCCTCTGGCCTGCCCCGGTGTTGAGGGCACTAGACCCAGTCCTAGGTAATGTCCTTCACCTTGAATGCCCAGGACTCAGCCGCTCGACTAGTTTTAAAGGAACGGGCCTGGATCATTCTGAGATCTGAAATTTGGAAACACAGAAGGCCCGAGGATAAAGGGCACATAGAAACTAATCAATCTAGTACTTATTAATTAAAGAAAAAGGCAAAACTTCAGAAAAAGGGATTGGATTCTTTCCGGTTGAAGGAGGGGAAAAAAGGAATGGGGATTGGGGCTTGCGGGGGAGGGAAATGGGCTTTGAGAACAGGAACTTTCGGATAGGGCAAATGACACCCACCTTCCAGATGAGAATGTGGAGGCTGCAACGCGAAACCTCCGCTCCTAACTGTCAAGGCGCCTGGGCCACTGTGCTGACTGACTGCTCAGGTCTCAGCCTGTGCATGGTGCTCGAGGGAGGCCAGGGTTCAGGGGGTGGCTCTGGATTGCTTGGGGAATGCGTTCTGTGGCGGGGGTGTCTGCAGTAGCTTGGAAAAGAGCCATAAATAAAGCTTTTGTAAAGAAGGCTTGCTGGATATAAATTTGAAACTTAGGCTACTGCTGTTAGATGCATTCCCTAAGCCACTGTCTCCACTGCCTGGTGCTAGGGCTGCAGTGGTGCCTGTGCTCTGAGCTGGCAACTTCCAGTGAGGCTATTGTCGCATCATGTAGCCAAGTCACCATCCTCTTGAAATGAAAACAAGAGCCTTGAAGCTGGTCTTCTGGACTTTTGTTCACCAGCAATTTACAAAACAACCCAGACACTCTCTAAAAAGTGTAAATCAGATCGTGTCTCTCTACTCCCCTGCTTCTTTCTAACCTCTCATGATTTTGTGCAGTAAAATCTAATCTCTTTTCCACAGTCCAGAGGTCCTCATGAATTGCAAGATCCATTTGTCCAACCTCATCTCTCACCAATTTCTGCTTGCCTCCATGTGCCTCAACCAGTGGCTTCCTCCTTGTTCCTATTCCATACCACAGGCCATTTGCACCACCTAGACCCTCTGCTGGGAATGCTATTGCTGCCTGGACATCACTTCCTCAGAGCGGCCACTTCTAATCATCTTACCTAAAGGAGTTGCCTTTTTGCTACCATTTTTTTCATAGCACCATTTTTTATTATGATGATGGATGCATTTATCATTGTCTAAAGTTATTTTTTTCATCCATTTGTTTATGCGCTTATTTCTGTTTTATCTCCCTAGAATACAACTTTTTTGTAGGAGCAGGGAACTTGTCTACAAGATGTGGTAAAAATATGGGGTGAATGTTAAAAAAATGTATTTTACAGTAAAAGACACTCTGACATTCATCTTCCTGAAGACACATCCCTCTTTTTGAGCACACTTATGACATTGCTCTTGCCACTTTCTGAAGCAATTCTGGAGTTCCCTTTGGTTAGTGTCTTTATGAGGTGTAACCAGAAATGTGAATTCTGCTGCCGCGTGCCATTGAACAGAAAGGCAGTCTCAGAAAAACGTTACATTGTGTCCTCATCCACTTTATCCACCAGATCTGACCCTGTACAAACTTCTCTTTCATCCCCAACATCAGAAGACCAGGAAAGTTAAGTGATTTTAATAGACTGAAGACACTGAGGCAGCCAAGATAGTGCAACAGAAGCGGACTTTCAGAACTGCCTCAGAAAGTGGCAAGAGTCACGGGGTAGTGTGGTCAAAGCGAAAGGTGATTATTTTAAAGGGGGATAAATGACCATGCATTTTTTACTGTAATAAACTTTTAAAAAATTATACATTCACCATAGTTTTACATCTTACCTTGTATACTGTCCCCATGTCTTTCCAAAGCCTAAAACAGTACCTGGCACATAGGAGATGCCCAGTAAATGTTACCTGAATGAGTAAATGAATACATGCTATAAGTAAGAGGTTTAGAAATGAAAAGTTTGGTTGTCCCAAGGGAAAGTGAGAATTGTCTTCAGAATGGAGATTACAATTAGATTTCCATATCTTCAGTTTTTGCATCTGAGGATTCAATCTACAGCAGACTGAAAATACAGACATTTTGCCTTGTGAAGTCTCAGATCCCCAGCCATCCCCCAGTGGACGTGTGAGGGGGAGTTATACCACTGGATGTCATGGTGCCTCGGTCTACCTTATGGAGTCATAGGCTCAGCTGGGCTCGTTCCAGCACTCACTGGCTGTCATGGATTTTCCAAGATGGCCTTGACAATTCAGCAGTGGGCCAGGCCCCTCTCATCAAGAGGTAGAGTCTGGGTTCCACCTTTTGAATCTGGGTCAGCCTTGGTTGCTGGCTTAGACCAGCAGAATCCAGAAGTGATGCTGTGTGACTTCTGGTCAGGCCACAGAGACCTTTCAGCTTGAGTTTTCCCTTTCTCAGAAAGGGAAGACATCTGGGATGAAAGACCACTGGGTGCTTCTGGGACGAGAGACTACTTGATGCTTCTGGGATGAGAGACCACTTGGCAAGAGACACTTAGCCGTCCTAGCCCTCCCGGCAGCCCTGCCAGTTGGATGCTTGCAGGAGTGAGCTCAGACAATACCAGCACAAGAACTAAAGCCAGACACATAATAGAGAACGACACACCCTTGTTGTTTTAAGCCAGGGCAGTCTGAGGTAGTTTGTTATACAGCAATGAAAAAGTAGATAAGCAGCTTTGGGGAAGCCCATTTTCTTGATTCTAAAAGAAGCATAATAGTAATGTCTACTGCAAAGGGTTTGGATAACGAACAGGTTTTAAAAAGAAGATATTACAAGGCCTGGGATTTAGCTCAGTGGTTCTGCTGCCTGCCTCGAAAGCACAAGGTCCCAAGTTCAATCCCTGGTACAAAAAAAAAAAAAAACAACAAAAAACAAAAATAAAAAACGATTGGCAGGGACATGCTCTGATAGAGGGAGATGAAACAAACCAAATAATGTTAAATAAAGGTAATTGCTATGAAGAATTGAGATGATGTAATGTAATTGACTGTATGTGGTACTTAGTTGAAGATAATTGGAGGTTTTTCTGCATGTGTGACATTGGACCTAAGTCAGGTACATGGAACCAATCAGGGGCAGTGTCCTGTGAGGAACAATAAGGGCAAATGTCCTGAGGTAGGATCAAGCTTTGCCTTGCCTGGGAATGTGGAGATGGCTGAGTGTAATGAAGGACAGAGGCAATGGTAGAAGATGAAGTCAATGCAGAGTGTTGCACTCTAAGGCGCCGTAAGGTGAGTGGATTTCATCCTAGATACATCAGAGCCCTGGAGGGTAATAGGGTAATGATATCCTTTGTATACTGCAAAGCCAGTTCTTGCCAGAAGCAGTTCATGACCGGCTAATCAGCTGATCAAGATGGCACTTGCAACTTTTCCCAGCTCTAGAAGTGTCCAGTTCTGTACTAGATCCAAAAACCTTTGGAAGCTACAAAGCACTTTCATCAGCATTGCTCCTTATAACCAGAATTAGGGCTTCTTGCTTCGCAAAAGGGACCTGAGAACCCAAAATTCCTTTTTGCTCTGAGCATGCATCGAGGAGCTTCTTGCAAGGGAAGCTGGAGGAACCTTTGTATCCTGAGGAAGCCCAAACCACTATTTGACCAAAATAGGAAAAAAATTTACAAAGAAATAAAAAGTGCTTTCTTTGGAATGAATAATGTCTGCTGAATCTGATTGCTTGAAAATTAAGAAAGAATAAAAAAACTCAAGCCCAACAATTAAAATAATGACTGATACATCACAGTAATGACATTTAATGAAGTGCTCTGTGGAAAATTCCAATGAAAGCCCACTGTTTTTTTTTTTTTTTTCCTCATTGGTTTTTTTCTCATCTTCACCTCAGGCTCTGTGGTGGCTCTGTGTATGTGGCAAGATGCTGGGGGCTGTAGTTAGGATGTATGGGCGTGAGATTTCCTGGCCATCATGTGCTGCAAGTCTTGAGAGAGATGCTGGAAAGGTCTCAGGCATCTCTGACGATGCCATTGGGTGAAGCCTCTCTGATGCTACTGCGGGGAACCCAGACTTGGCTGTTTCCCCGCATCTCTGCATTCTGCCAGGCCCCAGTTCTAGCTAACAAGATGGGATGGCATCATTTGTTGTGCAATTACCAGCTTCTGCATGCTGTGCTTGGCTCTTTCATATACTGTCTCAAATAATTCCCATCACATTCCTATGAGGTAGATACTCTTATTTCCTCTAGAGAAGGATGTCGAAGCTCAGACGACAGTCAGGGGACTTACTCAAACAAGTATCTGCTTTTAGTACTCCGCTATCCTGGTCCACACTTAGCAAAACAGACTGTTCTGTGGGAACTCAGAGTAGGGAATAATTCAACCTGGAGTGGACTGGGGGCCCAGGACTGACTTTTATAGCAGGTCATCCAGGCAGAGGCAAAGCTTAGAGGTGCTACATAGTTTGAAGTCTGTCTCCCAAGGGATCATGTGTTGGGGTTGGTTCCCTAGTTTGACAGCAGGAGAGGTGGTAGAAACTTTAAGAGAGAAGGTCTAGTAGGAGGTCTTTAGGTTGATTGAGTGTGTGTTTTTAGAAAAGATTGTAGGACCTCAGACTGATTCTCGCTTCCTGTTTGGTGATGTAATCTCTTCCTCTGG